CCAGAGATCTGTTCATCTCAAACACAAGAATTAAAAAAAAAAAAAAATCAGTAGTATAAATTCTCATAAAACTTAGAAAAGCCCTCTAAGCTCTTATATCCTTGGAGCTTACAGAAAGACTGAGTTTTCATTTTTCTTCCCTTTACTCTTCTCTAAATTAAATACAAAATAGTTTGTTTTTATTTAGCCCATTTCTGACTTGATAGCTAAAGCTTTAAAACGAAGAAAAGAAAGGTTTGATGAGTTCGACACACACAAAAACTCAGGGAGCATCTTCAAGGTGGTCTGCTTCTTTGAAAATTTTAAATGGGAAAATTTTAATTTAAAGAGTGACAATGTGCTTCCTGGAAAAGCCTAAGTATTAGCAAAGGAAGGACTCTGCACCTGTCCAAGAGTTTTTATTTGGCCTTTTGGAAATGTTTTATTATCTCTCTCACACACACCACACAAACACAACATGATCGAATTGGAGAAACCCTGAAGCATACAGATCATGGCATTTATTCCATCAAGAACTGTGCAATTCGTTACCAGAAAGATAAGGTATGGCATGTATGAACAATTTTACTTATAATGTATCACAACAGATGTAGGAAGCAGATTTCTTTTCAGAGTTGAAATACAGCTTCCAGGTCTTGTCTGTTTCTCATCTGGAAACCAGACTGGATCAGTTAAACATGGAAAGAAATGATCGTTTATAACCAGACCACAATCTCATATTCAAAGAAGTCTTTGTTACTGGGTTCTTCTTTTGGGACACCGAAAAGACCAAAGAATTACTACAAATGGAGGAGGATAGTGAGAAAGCAACTCATACTATGTACAGGTCTTTATGAACTACCTCTCTGGAAAAACCATCTGTGAAAGGCAATGACATTGTCTTTGAAATGAAAGGCAGTAAGTAAAATTCATCAGGTGGACACGAATGCCCCCTGAGATCCTATAACCCAGCAGAGAACAGACGAGACACACGCCCTCTGTACACACAGTGTGCAGCTACTCTGTGACCCACTGGGTGCCCATGTCCTGTCTCAGCACCAGAACACCTAACGCAAAGATTCCTGGCTGCAGCAAATACACTGCTTTACCTGTTAATGAGGAGGAGGGCAGCTCAAACTAGGGAAAAGTACCCAAAAAGGCCCTTTTCAATTTCCTGATTAATCCCTACAGGTATATGAAAACATATGTCTAAATAACCAGGATGACTTCATTTTTAAAATACAAGGGTAAAAGGTAATTGAGGTAATATTTATTATGGCGGATAATTGTCGAGGATTTAATTAGATGATGCATGTAATACACTTAGCATGGAGTAAGTAAACAGTAACTAAGAACGTCTGTATCTTAGCACATTCAGAAATGTGTGGTCTTTGTGATTTGAGCAAAAACCTCCAGCAGGCTTGAACTCTTTAGACAAATAGCTAAAATCAAATATTGAACTCCGGCTCCAATGAACTGAATTTTATAAATGCTCTATTTATGGATTGTGCAGGCTTCTATCTAAAATTATCTCAACATTTTAAATAATAGGAAAAGCCACAGAAGCACCTCTCTCTAAGAATCCTCCCTCATGCATGGTTATTCTTACTTTTGCCTTCCCTACCAAACAGAGAAGCACACCTTGGGTAATGCTGGAGTTCATGTGAGTCTGGTGACTGGAGGGTGGCAAGGAGTGGTCCCTGGGAAGGAAGACAAAACAGAAAGTAAATAAATCTCCTCCCTGGTGACTGCCACAACTGCTGCAAGACCAGGTGTTTGGAAAAAGGTGTATTCTGCATCATGTTAAGGTGTAATGTCATATAGGGATGATGGTATGGAAGTCCAGGGTGACCCTGTGCTAGAAGCTCAATCATTATTCACCTACTTAGTCCTTGCAGAATAATTAGTTTATCATCAAGACTTGGTTTGGGTTGAGAGTTAGAGAGTGATATGTTCTGATCGCAAAGAAGAAAAGTGTCTGGAAAGCTCCAAGGAGCCCAGACATATCTGTGAGCACCATGGGTAGAAATAGCTCAAGGGTAAGGGCCCCTTCAGGGACACAACACAATGAACACCAAAAGGGCAGGTGAGGAACACGAGCTCACCTTCTCCACCCAATCCCAGCCTATGTCAATCGTCTTTTGTAGTCTATAATTGAGACTTGGAGAGGAGGTCTAAGGGCTCAGACTCTCCTCTAGCAGCTTCCTTTGCTTAAGCAAAGGGAAGGGGAGAAATAGTCTCACATAGAGGTGAACATCACTTCAGTGGACTCTGCTATTCTTGAGGCCACAAGCAGAACCCAGCAGGCTTAGCGCCCTGGGGTATATGGATAAGACACAGGTAGTGAACATCCAGAAACACATTCAGCCTTTTGAGTCAGAAAACACTGGCTGCAAGTCCTGGCTCCACGGTTCACTGGCAGCAGGAGCCTGGGCAAGCTGCTTCACATTCCTGACCCCTTCCTGTTAATAAATGTGGGATCAAGCCTGTCTCCTAGGATGCTGGAAAAATTAAATGAGATGTTTGTAAAGGTCCTAAAACTGTACAATTCACTCAGTAGGCCTTCAACAAATAGTACCTGGGACCAGCAAATGGCACAATGGTTACACTGCTGAACTCCCATGTAGTCAACTAGGGTTCAAGTTCCAGACCCAGCAGCTTAAACCTCACACCGGGCACATGTGCATGCATGCCCAAAATCCTGAAAGGAGAATGGAGAAGGGATTGCAGTGTGGCCATTCTTCCCGGGGTAGGGGGAGACGTTGATTTCTCGCTTCTGTTTCTCTGTCTTGGTCTCTCTGATGAGCGCATACACCCTATAGCAAAAATCTCTCTAATAAAAAAAGGTACCTATTGTAAGTTTGCTTTAGTGTTGAAAGCTATTAAGTACAGCAGCCTTTTCAAGTTCTAAGTAACTGACAAGCCTATTCAGATAATAGGAAGCAAACTGAATTACAATATGGGTAGAATCACAGACAGTGAGGTCAGGACAGAATCTTAGTGCCCATCCACATTGCTCTGTGCCTAACTGAGAAAGAACTGCATATGTGGCAGGAGAAGAACGGCCAAGAAAAGATGTCCCTTTCATTTTACCTTTGCCAAGATATTTTCAAGACAATTCAGTTTTATAAAATCATGGAAGGGGAAACTAGAGAGTTTATCAAAGAAAGAGGTTTAAAAAAAAAAAAAAAGAAACAGGTTTTTTTGTTTCTTGTTTAGGCCATGGAATATGAAATAAGCATCAAGTTCCAAAGACCACTGAAAAGACATTTGCCCCTCATTGGTCTCATCTGGTAAAGCGCCTTCTTCTAGGCAATCTGGCTAATAGTAAACACTGTTGAGACTTAATGAGCGATTTCATGTTGGCTATCTGGAAGGAAAAAGGGGTAGAAGTGAACAAAGAAGTGATAAGGCATCAGTCCATTTCCTATACCTCTCCCCGAAACTCCGAAAGGAATGATAGCACTCGAGGGTCTGCTAAATACAAACAAAAGGAAGTGAAAAAATAGGTTTGAAGATCTTTCTGCTTTTGAAAAAGCACATACTTTCCCCCCTTGAATTAACCATATAATAACTTTTAACTTTTTTCTAGTTTGCACAAATCTTCTCCATGGTAGTTCAACTCGAAACTATGATATTATTCCCAGAGCGGACTTGCTTTTCTCTGTACGTGGTGCCCCAGGAAATCTGACCTTTATCTGTATGTCTGATTTTTACCCTATTCTCATCAGCTGGCATTCAAACACAACTCTTCTAAAGTGCTCAGTCGATATAACACACTGACATTTCACTGTGATTGAAAGAATGACTGATCTCCATTTCCATTAATGTAGTCAAACGACACTCACACGGAGGGACAGTGGGAGACAGACTGGCAGGAGTGTGGGCAGTATATACAAGGAAGAGGTGCTCATAAGCGTACATTTATATATGGCAGTGAACCAGCTGCAGATTCACTGGAAAATCTTCCAAAAGTAAATAATGAGTTTCAACATCACTGAAGGGGCTTCTTTTTTTTCCTCACCAGTATGAAAGGTTAGACAGAAATTACTCCCAGGAATAGTAAAGAATGCTCCCTGGGGATGGTCATGATTCATGAAGATGTGATACATATTTTTAAGGCAGCAG